CGACATCTTGATGTCCAGCTCGACATCCCACTGTCCAACTCCAAGTGATGATGTCCAGCTCTACCTCTTGACGTCCAGCTCGACATCCTGACATCCAGCTCGACACCCTGCCGTCCAGCTCGACGCCCTGCTGTCCAGCTCGACGTTGTCTCGAGCATCCCAACTAGGGCAGACTCAGTCCACCGTTCCCCCAACGATACTCCGGAAAGACCGCGTCTTCGTCCGCCCGCACTTCACGCAGCACATCCAGGAAGGGGACCACGTGCGGGTCCCCACTACCCACGTAGAACCTGGCAGTTCCTCCATTGGGCCAAATCCGCCCGGCCCAATGAAGGGACCTTGGCCCAGCGCTTGGGGCTATAAATACCCTCTGTTTCCAGAGGGTCAGGTATTCATCATTCTAACCTCAACTTCTATTATCTGCTCGTACTCCTACTTATTTCAGCATCGGAGTGTCTTGCAGGTACCCCCCACCTCGTTCAAAAAAGCTTTCTGCTCGGAGCCAGCCGTGACTGTCCATTTCTGATCAGGTCAGATCATATATATACCTTTGATTATTATGAAAAATAAGAACAATCAATCTTATCTATTGAATTTCAAATAAATGAATTTAATAGATTATATATTTATCACTTATCACAAAAACTCAATGCACATTATATATTTAGAAACAAAATATTTTATAACTTTTTTAAAATAATGATATACGATTTTTTTTAAACATGGAATTTTTAATTTATAGTTTATAAATGAAACGTTATATCAAAAAATTAAAATTTTAATCAAAATGGTTTATATAATCATATGTTAATTATAATCATAAATAAAATTAACATATGCATATATAATTTTAATAAAAATAATTAATTAAAAAATATATTTCTCAAAAACGTTTATGTCTATAATTTTAGTATCAAAAAACAATTCAAATAATTATAAATTAATTACAAACGTTAATATATAGCTACATTAATTCCTTCCTTTTGAAAATGTTATGATGATAGAATGAAATGAAAGATATAAATGATATTTGTTATTTAACAATTATTATATAATTATAGAGAAAAGACGCATTGTCGATTAATCATAATTATATATTTAATTAAATTTTACTTTTAATTTTGAATTTTTTTAATGACATAATAGATGGTTGATTTTCTATTGGTTGAATGTATAAAAAAACTTGACACTAACAATATATAAATATTATTCTCATAATTATATTCGTTTCAATTTATTAATACAACAAGTATATTTATTTATATAATTATATGAATAGTTTTTATATATATATATATATATATATATTATACTACGAATTTATAGATATACTGCACCCACAAATTAAAATATCTGGCTCGGTCCTTGCTAGTTCCATAAGGGGAAAACATATGAATCAAAGTGAATGTGTTGGAAATATTTTTAATTAGGTTATGCCGCCGGTGACATAATCTACCATTTTAATATAAAGTGGGTAGGCATATCATAATTTATTTTTGGTTATTTGGATGTCATCACTTAATAAGCATGTAAAATATTAGTGTTATATTTCTACAGGAATTAATTAATGGAAAGGGATGTGCATGATTGGTTATATTTAGAAACTAAATCTTAATTATTTTCAAATTATTTAAATGAAAGAAAAAAAAAGTAATTTTAGAGATATATAATTTATTCAGGCATGCTTGGTTCATCAAAAATAAAATTCATTTGATCTTTAGAATTGATTTTATTTGAAATTACTATTTTTAACTTTTGAGTCTCAAGTAAATTTTACATTAAAATTTATTGTTTAATTTACTTTTAGATGAATATATTCAAACATAAATTATTTTAACTTCAACTCACTTTTGACATAATCAATTTTACATAACTAGTTCATTCAAAATCAATGTGTCATCATAAAATCAAACACCGGTCAATAGATTGAATTTGCATAAATTAGAAAAATCACAATATTCTTCCAATAATCTATTGATCATACTACACATAGTTAGTCAGAAGTTCAGTGATTAAGAAGCTAATTGTTAATGAACAATTCATTTTAAATTGACAATGTATTTTAGAGCGACAGTTGATATGTTTACAAACTCTAATTACATAATTTATCGCCGTTTACAAACAATAGTTGTATGATTCATTACGACACAACACAATCCTTGTGTCGTCATAAACCTTAATGTAACACTTCCTTACTATCAAAAATATAATGATCAAATTATTTAATATGACTTACCGAAATATCTCTACTTCATCACACAAATGTCGGTCATAAAATATAATCAACATTGATTATTCAAATGTATAACAATCACAATACCAATCGAATGGAGAGAATAAAAAAAATATATCAAATACATTGATGTTGTATCAGAGTTATTTATATCATATATAAATCGATCAACATATTTGTATCACTATGGATGATTGAAGCATCATTGTCTCACCATAAAAAATATATCACAAAGCACTGTCAACATTAAACATTCAAATGTTATAAATCATGATTCCAATATTTGATTTCTAAAAAAACGCATATTTGTGCTAGATTTGGGTCAGGCACTCTGTGTTCGAATCACATTCATATAACCAAAATCCAAAAACTGATATTTGTGTTTGATTCGGGTCAAACACTTTGTGATTCGAATAAAACCTATCTAATTGGAGTCATGGACTACTGTGATTCGAATCACATAAACATAAGCAAATTTGATTTTCATAAATACGTTTGATTCAAGTCAGAATATTTGTGATTTGAATCATGACAGCACAGAAGTAATTCCTAGCTATTTTGTAACCTTGATTCAAAACATGTAAGCTTGTGTTTCAAATCACACTTCCAGAACCTTAGTTTTTGCAAAACATGAAGTGTTTTTCGGAATCCAAACTTGACATGAATTAAATCATTCTCAAATGTGGTTCTTGATTTAAAACTTTAATAAATTGACTAAAAGCATATTATTTGAACTATAATCAAATAGTTTGATTTATGCATGTTTAAAAATAGATTAAGAACTCAACTCTAAAATGTGCAATCATGTGAAAAGACTCAATAACGATAAAAAAATCAAGACCAAAAGTCAAATGACAAACAACAAAACATAAATCCTAGGAGACAGTGTGTTTGGGTCTTGAAATCCAAATTCACCCTTATGCTTAAAACATACACACAATATTGTCTAGGGGTGAGTGCCAAGATTAAAATCAAAACTAAATTTTTATTTGAATTTGAGTGTTTGTGATAAGAGAATTGAGTCTGAATGGTGCAAAAAGATATATTGGTATAATTAATTTATTACTACATGGAGTGTAGTGAAACTACTCAATTTTTTGCAAACATGACTCGTATTGATATTGTGGTGAAACTACACAAATAAAAGTTTGGCTTAATTACAATTTTAGTCTTTCTATTTTTATATATTTTGAATTTTGATCCCCCATTTTAAAATCAAGGATTTTGGTCCTTCCATTTTCATATTTTTTTAGTTTTGGTTCCTCCATTTTAAAATCAAGAAATTTGGTCCCTCTATTTTGGTTTTGTCAGCATTTTAGTCCCCCAATCACATATTCATATAATTTTTTATGACATGACAGGTGAAGTGATGATATGTCATAACTTAAATAGAATAATTCAAATTCTACATCATTTAGAAATAATTTTTATTCAAATAATAATACGAATTTTATATTAAAAATATTTAAAAAAATTAAATAGTCTAATTATTTAATTTTAAATATAAAATTTACATTATTATTTGAATAAAACATAATTATAATTGACGTGGAATTTGAATTGTCATATAGCAAAATCTTTTTCATGTTAGAAAACTTGAAATTGACAATTGTTGGAATTTCCGCCTTCTTTGCAGTTCTTTGCAGTCCACCTCTAGTCGCCTAATTGCGACATTTGGCTTGTATTAATTGCAGCCTCCAACACCTTTATTGTGTTGGGATTGAAGGAGTGAAATTAATCTCACAATGTTCAGAGATATGATTTGTGTAGTGTTTATAAAAGGTGTGCAGTTTGTGTAGTGTTTATAAAAGGTGTGCAGTCTTCACCTTATAAGCCGGTTTTGTAAGGATTAATTAGGCTCAATCACATATTTTAAGAACAATACATTTCTAACACAAACTGTATAAAGTTCAGTATTCAACCAAGTTTCACACAGTTTTGAACTAGTATATTTATATGTAAACAAAATATCTAGATCAAAGGGGGTGAGAGAGTATGTTAGAGAAAGATAGTAACCTTCCAACATCCTTTTTGACGAATTGTACTTTAGATGGATTCCAGCCTTGTTATTATTTGTCTGGATGTTGGTCTCTTTGCTGGATTCTCTTTCCAACACTCTTTAATCAACCTGTAAGCAGATATTATTAGCAACAAATTGTAAGTTACGTATAATTTGGCAGAAAAGTTATGTTAAATGATAAGCTCAGTGTTGTAATATCACACTCAGACAAGATGGACAAGACATAGTATGCAACATATAAAATAGTAATATAGGAGTCATGAATGATATGGCCTTTTAATCACATTCATTGTATGTTTGGATTGACAGGGAGTTTGTCAAAATCAAAGTGATTCTATGATTTTGTTGAAGCTCTAAACTAAAGTGTAAATTTTGCTAAGATCGCGATGACTTGTCGTAAATCTGACAATATCGTTATCATCGCCAATCCAAACCTCACTCGATTAAGTTGGCACGACTTGCTTTGTACTAATAACCAAGCCTTATCCCATTAAATAGGACCGACTAGAAGGATCAAATTGCCATAAAGTTCTATTAAAGACCATGTTTGTATCTAGTAATATCTATATACAAAATTGCAAATGTTAAGTACACTACCAACTTTTCTTGATACATGTGAAAAATACCAAAGGTGCTTATAAAAAAGGAAGGGGATAGTATTAAATATCACCTAAAAAGCATAGAAAACTTACTTTCGAATTCCATGAGAATAATGCTTAGTAGGAGCTCGGAAGGGTGGTCTTTTTTTTAGGCATAAACCATAGGAACCCCGTCCTCACGCTCTGCAGAAAAAAGAGGGTAGCCTTCAATCATCTAAAATGCAGCATATAGTTTACATCAGAAATGATTACATAAAATTATGAATATATCATTCACTACTTAGCTCCAAATTTTAGTAAATTTAACACCCAAATGATGACAGGAAGATATTACTTGATTATAAATCCAGTTTAGTTGACATAAAATATGATTAAACTTAAAAATCATTATGGAGATCATCTAGGATACTTTTATTCTAGTGTACAAAAATGAAATTTTGGGATAATTTCTAAATATTTTGACAGCCCATCAATAATACAATGTACACAGAAAGAAGAAACGGGGATGCTCTACATAGAGTTGTCCTTCTCCTCTCTCTGGATCTGTAGGATCCAAGAAAGAAGAGTCAGAATATGTACATAACATTCCCAGGATTTGAGAGTCTCGTTTCTCCCACCCAAAAATCACTAATCAACAAACACCACTCAGTTACATTCGTTGTTGTTAAATGGAAACCATAGAGTGGTGGATTTTTTCACAATTGCCATGGGCGATTTGTGAAGGGTTACCCGCCATAGATGGTAGACCACAATGGCTTGCTTATAATAGCGGTTTTTTTACCTTCCATTTTCTGTGTCTGACAAAAGTGGTTACATTCCCTTCCTCTAGAAAGGGAGTTACCCATTCTCATTTTCAAGATTAAAGAAATGCACTTGTTCATATAATATACTCAGAAATTATTTACATATGGGTTAAATATATTTTTATTACCTATAAAAGTAAAAAAAAAATATATTGGTTTTGATTCCTTGATTTCCATTACTTTCGAGTTCCTAAAACACTATTTTCCCTATATCGGGAAACACTGGACACAGGGGTAGAGAATTTGAAGCATTTCTGCTTTCCTTAACACATTTTTTCCTTTAGTAGATATCTCTTCCGCTCGGTCTTTCTCTTTAATCAAACTCATTAGATGAGATTCTCTGGGCTGAGAGATATGGAGGGATGGATTGAAGCAAACATTGAGATGATCTTATGACCAACTCAGATGATCAGCTGAACATCAGAGCACATCCCGCTTGAATGGGATCAAGTGCTGACTTCGTGACACAATGTTGCAACTTGCAAATAACCAAAATAAAATTTAAGGCATGAGAGTGTCAAATACCTAGCAATATCAAGTGCAAATCTAACATTTTCCTGCACAACGTGCTGAAATGAGATCTAGAAAGGAACATTTTCTATCATATTGCTATGAAATTACATCAAACTAGCATCCAAAGAAACACCACAAAATCATGTCCCTTAAGATTATAGGACAAAACCTTGGGAAGATATTCTGTCACAATCATCATTGGACTACTCTGTGTCACAGCACCAAGAAATTGGACTACATTTGGATGACGAATCTTCTGGAACAGAGCAAGCTCATCTCTGAAAGCTCATCCCCGAGCTTTTTTACCGCAACCTCGGTCCCACGCCACAACGCAATACAGAAAGTCCCCTGTCATTTAAGAAAAGATCATAGGATGGAAGAATCCTGCACATGCAATGGAATTGGAAGATTGACTAACGAATTGTTTACCTTTGTTATTTCCTTACTGTTGGTAAAATCAAGTTCTTTAGGATTGATTTCATATTCCGGGACATCACGTGCATGATTAACATGCATAGAGGTCATCTGAAATACTTTATTCACATTTATTACCACTCATTAGCAGAATTCAGAAGAAAAGACTGATAGGTCAACATAAATAAGTGCAACAATCCTCAATTTTACACACACCAGAGGCTTTGCTCCATGATTTTCCAATAGTTTGATCACGTCATTGTTTTTATAGAATATAGCATCTGCAAGGGGCTGTTTAAGAGACACGAAATTAATAACCAGTCCAGTAATTTATTTATTTTCAAAATTCAGTCCATGCAGAAGACTCCATGATTGTTTTTGTTACAAAATGTGAATTATCCTATGATAAAATCAGCAGAAATGTGATACAAGCTGAATAGTAAACATCATTTCATTGGCAATGAAGCTAAGATAAGGAACCAACATGGATAATATTTCAAACAGAAAGAAACCCAATACGATTTGCAGCACTAGATGAAACACATTTTCTCATTTTCACAATAGTTATACCCTCTTGATGTTTATACCCCCATCATACAAATGTGTTTTAAAGAGAGAATTACATAGCCCATATGAACCAAAACATCAATTCTTGAAAATCATATGAATTATGAAATCACACTGCCAAATGAATGTTCCACACACACCACTCTTCACCACTTTAAGTTCAGAACAAATGACAAGAAGGCTGCGCATATATAGAGTTAATGATAATCATTTAACTTTTACATTTTCAAAGGAACTCAAGATCTCAAAGCTAAACATTCAGTCAACCTCCCCGCAATAAACAAGATGCGTGCATAAAATATTACAATGGCTCTAATTCAATAAGGTAAGGCAAGTTAGATATCTATTTTCCTCCCTTTTCCCAATTTTTTTTTCCTTTCGTTTTATAAGTTAGTTTTCAAATATAATTTTAGGGAGCTGTAGTAGAACTCAAAGGTTTGTGGTTCTCCTGACTCCTGAGACTTAAAACTGCGTGTCATGAAACATGTACCTAGTTTATTTGCAGTCACCAAATTTTGTAGTCACTGCGTCAATATCTCAACCACTAATGAAGAATAGATGGCTGCTATTCTGACTTCACTAAATCAAGTTTAGAATACAATTCAAGCTATTGTGTATAGTTATCTCTTGAACAGTGACAGTCATTCGAGTTCAGCACACATCATGACATACATTTATTCAGGCATTTATTCTTAGGTAATCAAGATCGAGCCTAGTCCTTTATTCAGTCATTACAATGTAAAGAATGAATCCATAGTACAAGAATAGCAAGGCAACATAAAATCAAGACTCTTAGAATTTGAGTGGGCCAAACTCTACCCCTAAAAAACCAACTTGAAAGGCGAGTATGTCTTCCAATCTATAAACTCATTTTCAGGTTATACCACTTCCCAATTATAAACTTCTTTAACACCCAAGACCGAACATCTGGACATTTGAAGTGTGTCCCAGGGGTGCCCCAAAAGGGTTACATGATTCCAGACAGTCCAACGAATCTGGGATAGACTCTTATACTTCTTAAAACTTGGATGGCTTAACTCTATCCTACAAATTCAGCTTGTAAGGAGAGGATACCTCCCACTTATAAAATAATTTTCATGTCATATCTCATCCCATGTGAAACTATAAAACTGCCCGAAAAACTAAAGCCAGATTTAGACCATTACAATGCAAATGAAATCTAGACCAACAACAACAACCAAATCTTATCACACTAGATGGGATCGGCTACACAGATCAACTTTCGCGATAATGTTCTATCCAGAACCATGCTTCTCTCCAAATCGTTAATCTCTAGATTTTTTTTAATAACTTCTCCTATAGCTTTTCTAGGTCTTTTCTACTCTAGCTCTTTGACTCCTCTCCATTTGACTTACTATCGTTACCATAGAATCTACCGGTCTTATCTCTACTCTCCTATACCAACATTCCTTGAAAATGAATAACAACACTAAACCATGTCAGGTATCAAAACCTCAACCAACCTATCTTACACTAATGACACATCAGAATTTCACACCTCTACCTCAGTAAACTTTGCACTGAATCTTTACCAACTAGTCAACTAAACCAGTGGTTAAACATCACAAACTAATGAGATTAGAAGAGAGTAATTCATTACCGTGCTCCCCCATCGATCTTTAGGATCAACATCAGCCCCATTCACAAGCAACAAATCAACAACATGAGTCAACCCCTGACAAGCCGCAATATGAAGAGCCGTACGTCCATCAACATCTCTAAAATTAACACTCACACCCGATTCCAACACCTCACGAATCCCATCAACATCACCTTCATTCGCCGAATACATCAACCTAACTCCAGAATCAATAGCACCATCAACCTCGTGCTGAACTTCATCCTCTTCTCTATCCCGTTCCGGTGCCAACGACGACTGTTCCCAAGCTTGAATCTAGTAGGGTTTTTCGATTCCATTGCAGAATTGAACACCAAAGAAAACGAAAAATCAGATTTTGAAAATTGGGTAGTGAAAAATGATGAAGAGAGAATAATGGGTAGGGTTTTGTTTAGTTGAAAATTATTTGTGCAACTTGTGATCGAAGTTTAAGCGTGGAAATGTTTGAACTTTTGAGAAGGAAGAGAAGACGTGGAGTTTACACGTTTAATTTAGCGCGTGACGTGTTTTGGGAAATGCCAGCTCTGGGAGAGTGAAACAACGCGGCGTAGGGTATGGGACTGTGACTAACATGCGCTATGGTGGCTATGCATAAAATTGAAATTATTACAAATATATCATCTTTTTACAAATTATTCACTAAAATACTATCATTTTTCCACTAAATCCTAAATTATCATGTTCTCAAAAGAAAAAAATTTGTTACGGAAGAGTCGCTCATTACTTTAGCAATACTCGATTATTTTTTTAAAAGTATTATATGTTATAGAGTATTATATCTTATAGAATTTCCTGTGAATTTGTCACATATATTATATAATTCGCAGATAATTTTATAAGAGTATTATAGATTTTAATCGATAAGAAAATTCAAAAAAAATCCGCAGGTAAATCTGCAGATAAATAAATAAAATTTTAAATAAAATAATACAAAATCGCCAAAGCATCGGGCGGTTCTTCTATAACAATTTTTTTTTAAAACATGATGATTTAGGAGTGGAAAAAATATGATATTTTGGTAAATAATTTATAAAAAAATGGTATGTTTGTAAAAAAATTTATAAAATTCGCGATGATTTAGATGTAGAGTAGATATTTAATATGATCTCGTCTACTTTTAATATAATAAAATATTTTCTCCTTCTCAAAATAATTATCATTTAAAATTATTATACACGGATTAAAAAAATATAATAATTGAGTCAATAAAAATAAATATTTTTACAAAATTATCCATAATTACTATTGAGTGTTATATATTATCATAACTTAAAAAGAGTGTACAGAAAAAATAAAATTAGTAAAAATTAGTATTTTTTAAAATAATATTAGCAAAATAATATTTTTCAATGTTGCATTGGAAAACTAAACAAAACTATTATTTTAAAACAACTTAAAAACAATTATTTTGAGACAGAGTAATACACTAGCATTATTAATTTATTATCCCAACTAAAATTATTTAATGAGCTAATTTTATGCCCAAAAAGTAATTTCGTCCCCACTAATGATTAATTATCTATTCATTTACCTCAATTAAAAATAACATTTATTTTGACAGCTAAAACAGGAGCCTTTTTTCATTCTAAGACAAAAGGGTTTAGTAGCAAGAGACTAGTTTTACATTGGAACAATGTCAAACCTTTCTCACTTCAACGCAATTTATTATTTATCTGTCTGTAATCAATTGATTTTTCAATGGATTCCTTTCTTACTTTTCAACACAATATTGCATTGGAAACACACAAAAATCCAAACGCATGTGTCTCTCAATTCAAAATCCAAACGCATTAGAAACTAAAACGTTTTCCTGAGATAATTCATTCGAAACTGGAAGGTCAGTGTTATAGGGTTCATAGTTCATTCCATAGGACAAATCAAAGCTATCTCTATTCGATGAGAAATACAAAACCAACAATTTAGTAGTAAATCCATTCCCATGACTTTAATAGTTGTTTCAATTTAGTATTGTTCATAAAACTGAGTTGCTTTCATTCTATGGTGTATGCTTCTGTATTTATTGGCTATTTTTTCACTTCTATTTCCAGATAGATACAAGTCTTTGGATTTATCTGATGATATTGTAGAAGAGGATAAAGAGGAGTTCCTTCTACTAAGGATAAGGAACTCTTATTTCGTTCCTTTTCATCTTCTGCTAAGGATATGTTGGATTTTGGATTTTAAAACATTTGCCACCGAAGAAATTATCAGGCTGAGTCGCGGACTAGGTCGCTCTCTTTAAGACGTTTCGCGGCACTGCTCAAAAATTATGCAAAGCAGTCAAACTACCGCGCCGCGCCGCCTCCAGGATAAAACAGCTCAGTTCTATACTGTACGATTACTACTTGCATGATAGATAATCAGTCTAGAAATACACCCTCTGATGGTACAAGACCATTCAAATATGGTATCAACATCACTCGTAGTATCTGGTACAAAGACCAGTCATAATAATTTCTTAAACAAAAAGAAACACAAATAATTCTCCAAAGAGAAATTAATAATGGTCATTTATTAACATAATTCTCTAAAGAGAATTCAAGAAAATATTCGGAAAATTCAACGAGTAGGAAGAAAGGGGAAGAAAATGGCGCTTCGACAATTCGAGAGACGCAAAGTTATGAGAGTGAGGAAGGAAAAACTAATAGAATAGTTTTTGGTGTAATTTGGAATGAAACATATGCACTCCTTATATAGTGAAATATGATAGTTAATATTTCTCACATGAGCAATGTGGGACTAAATGGTTTTTTCAACCAAAAAAAATATTCTAACAATGTGGGACTTGAGAAATTTTTAAATTCAACATATTGAAACATGAACATGTTCCAACAATCCCCCACTTGAATTTAAAAAAATTGATTTTAGAAGTAACGTCAAACATTTCTAAGGTTGTGCATAAACAAAGGTGTCTACGATTTGAACCTTTGCATAGCAAGTAGGATTCCAATTCAACAAGAGTGACACAAATGTCTTGAACTCTATCTCAGACATCAAACCCGCACACAACCTTTTCTTAAGGTGTATTTTAATAGCCCGTGCTTTAATGGTCCCGCACGTGTATCCCAGTTTAATGAAGGCTTGTTTACAGTGATTTCTGGTAAACAACCGCTAGTCTTCCAAACTATCGAATAAACTTACTGATCGTTATTCAATTCCTCTGGTAACTCGCAGGATCGACTAGATTGATCCTAGGACGTGTTGGACATTAGGGTAACTCTCATGATCGAACAAGTATTCATGGTTGGTATTTAGAATATTGTGTAGGTGTTTGACTTATTTCGATTTCTCTCTTAAAGATCTAAAGGTGTAATCAAAATATATGTGCGCGAAACTAAATTGCATGAATAAAGGTTAATTGTAAAGACATGTAAAAACTGCATAAAAGACAAGTAACTGACTTCGAAACGTAAAAAACACAGTTAATGTAAAAGATTCGAAATGTGAAGAAAGCGTTTAATGCAAGAAAAACTGTAAAAATGGCTTTAAGTGAAAAAAGGTGTTCGAAGGGAAAAAACTTGAAGATAAAGGCATAAAATGTATAACAATTTCTGAAATGTAAAGTATTTGAAATGGAAGGAAAGCATTTAAATCTAAGGCATTAGTGAAAAGATTTCGAATAAAAAGACTTTAGATGCAAAAACTTGTAAATGGTATTGACATAAAGATAAGGAAAGTACTGGAAATGATAAAGGGTTTTCATTAAATCATAAACATGTGGTGTTATCATACGTACATTGCTCTTGCATTCGTTTCCCTAGCCATGTGGTAATTTGAATGTTTACTGAGTGTTTTTGTACAATAGATATGACACCCGAAATCCTAATTCTAAGACTTATATTTATACTACTTCGACCATAACGGTCTTACTATAAGATTCTGCCACGTTCAGAACATGCAGAGCAATGCCTCTCTCTTGCTTCCACGTGTCTTCGAATGCTCCAGCGCATATATTTCAAATTTCGAACATCCCGCTTGCATTTGAATTTCAAATGTTTTGGTACTTCTTCGCTTCGAACGCACTTCTTAGACACAGCCTTGTTCTCATTTCGAGACTTCTTTGGATATATTCTCATAATTGTCACTCGAAGCTCCAAGCTTTGATATGCTCATTCGAAGCATTGCTTCTACTATTTCGAAACATGACGTTTTGTTTCATTTCAATCGAAACGTCCAATTTACTTTGCTTCTAATAATATTATCAAAATCTTCAGCCAACAAAATGCCCCTTTAAAATATGTATTTCGATTCCTTTGAGAAATACTTATTTTAAACATATACACAAGATTTTGATGCGACCTTCGAATCATCGTAACATTTATTGCATTTGACTCCAGTCACGTCAATCATAACACTTTTTAGATTCCTTAACCGCCTTAAACCACTTCACAGTATGGTGCAGTTACAAAACAATGATTATCTTTAATCACGCCTATTACCAATGTTAACTTTACGCCACCTCTTCATCAAACCAACCCATGATTACCACGTATCACAACCTTACTCAGTGGATGCTTAAACTTCCACATTATAAAAACCCATCAACTTAGTCTTTTTCTTTTCTTTCCACATTCTGAATTTTTTCTCCTTCTTTTCTCACCGAAAACCCTAAGCTTTCAACATTCTTCCAACAATGTCTTCTTCTACTTCATCCCAACTAAAAAAGGTTTCCAAAAAGAAAGGAAAGACTGCAGGAACTACCATGGAAAGCAAGGTTGTCACTCACCAAGGTCAATCTGTTCTTGTTTCCCAGATGATCTCAAAGGAGAAAGAAATGCTTTATGCATCCCAGGTACTTATTCCTACCACCGCTGCTGGTAATAGGTTAGCTTTAATGGGCCCTCTTACAGTTTTTGAAATTTTAAAAGACACCAGGAAAATTTTCCCAGTTTGCTATAATTTCAAACCCCTGTTTAATAAAATGGACGCCCCTAAGGCAATAGAATCTTCTGGCTCAAACACCGTGGAAAATCCAACTGTTCCTCCTAAGGACCCTTTTGTATTAGATTATGTAAAGAGTAACTTTAAACCGTTTCGATCTTGCCCCACCTCCGACACTGCTTATCAAAACTGGTTCAATAAGGTAGAAGCTAAGAAATCCCAGCAATGGGAAGAATTAGGTATCTACAACTTGATTAAGCTGTCGAAGCCAGGTTTTACTTACAGCCACCCATTGTTATTCGCGTCCCTATATTTCTGGGACAGTACTTATAATACCTTCCATCTCCCTGGTGGAATGATTACCCCTACCTTCTTTGACATAGCGGCCATCACTGGGCTATCACCAGTAGGAGAAACA